TATAAACTGGTTTTGTGTACGTATATGTCAAGATGTGTTGAGCAACTGGAAAGCACCCATAGGCATAGAGCCAACGCACAAGTACATCCGTAACATGTTACGCTACGTTAAGTACTGACAATACAATGGCTATACTTGTACGTAAACTTAAACTTAAGTCAACGCACTAAGAATTCCATGTAAAACTTAACATGTTACGGATGCTTGTGCGAAGGCTCATAGGCTGCGTTCCGTTATTTACTGCAAGTACCGTCAGTACTACCAACAGCGTTCTTAAATAGGTTACAGTGCACTGCGAAAGCACTTCGACGAGTTTGTGACATCATGAATTTGATGTCACTTCCTGCTGCGGCTAATGCAGCTGGTTAAGCCAGCGTCACACGATGCTTGTTTTTGTGCTGATTGCTTGCTGGATGGAAATACTCTATTCTGATTGGTCCATCTTCAGAAATGCACCAATCAGAACAGAGTATTTCTATCCAGCAAGCAATCCAGCACGAAAACAAGCAACGTATGCCCTTAGAGCATATATATATATATATATATATATATATCTCTCTCTTATACACATCTAGATGTGTATAAGAGAGAGATATATATATATATATATATATATATATCTCTCTCTTATACACATCTAGATGTGTATAAGAGAGAGATATATATATATATATATATATATATATCTCTCTCTTATACACATCTAGATGTGTATAAGAGAGAGATATATATATATATATATATATATATATCTCTCTCTTATACACATCTAGATGTGTATAAGAGAGAGATATATATATATATATATATATATATATCTCTCTCTTATACACATCTAGATGTGTATAAGAGAGAGATATATATATATATATATATATATATATCTCTCTCTTATACACATCTAGATGTGTATAAGAGAGAGATATATATATATATATATATATATATATCTCTCTCTTATACACATCTAGATGTGTATAAGAGAGAGATATATATATATATATATATATATATATCTCTCTCTTATACACATCTAGATGTGTATAAGAGAGAGATATATATATATATATATATATATATATCTCTCTCTTATACACATCTAGATGTGTATAAGAGAGAGATATATATATATATATATATATATATATCTCTCTCTTATACACATCTAGATGTGTATAAGAGAGAGATATATATATATATATATATATATATATCTCTCTCTTATACACATCTAGATGTGTATAAGAGAGAGATATATATATATATATATATATATATATCTCTCTCTTATACACATCTAGATGTGTATAAGAGAGAGATATATATATATATATATATATATATATCTCTCTCTTATACACATCTAGATGTGTATAAGAGAGAGATATATATATATATATATATATATATATCTCTCTCTTATACACATCTAGATGTGTATAAGAGAGAGATATATATATATATATATATATATATATCTCTCTCTTATACACATCTAGATGTGTATAAGAGAGAGATATATATATATATATATATATATATATCTCTCTCTTATACACATCTAGATGTGTATAAGAGAGAGATATATATATATATATATATATATATATCTCTCTCTTATACACATCTAGATGTGTATAAGAGAGAGATATATATATATATATATATATATATATCTCTCTCTTATACACATCTAGATGTGTATAAGAGAGAGATATATATATATATATATATATATATATCTCTCTCTTATACACATCTAGATGTGTATAAGAGAGAGATATATATATATATATATATATATATATCTCTCTCTTATACACATCTAGATGTGTATAAGAGAGAGATATATATATATATATATATATATATATCTCTCTCTTATACACATCTAGATGTGTATAAGAGAGAGATATATATATATATATATATATATATATCTCTCTCTTATACACATCTAGATGTGTATAAGAGAGAGATATATATATATATATATATATATATATCTCTCTCTTATACACATCTAGATGTGTATAAGAGAGAGATATATATATATATATATATATATATATCTCTCTCTTATACACATCTAGATGTGTATAAGAGAGAGATATATATATATATATATATATATATATCTCTCTCTTATACACATCTAGATGTGTATAAGAGAGAGATATATATATATATATATATATATATATCTCTCTCTTATACACATCTAGATGTGTATAAGAGAGAGATATATATATATATATATATATATATATCTCTCTCTTATACACATCTAGATGTGTATAAGAGAGAGATATATATATATATATATATATATATATCTCTCTCTTATACACATCTAGATGTGTATAAGAGAGAGATATATATATATATATATATATATATATCTCTCTCTTATACACATCTAGATGTGTATAAGAGAGAGATATATATATATATATATATATATATATCTCTCTCTTATACACATCTAGATGTGTATAAGAGAGAGATATATATATATATATATATATATATATCTCTCTCTTATACACATCTAGATGTGTATAAGAGAGAGATATATATATATATATATATATATATATCTCTCTCTTATACACATCTAGATGTGTATAAGAGAGAGATATATATATATATATATATATATATATCTCTCTCTTATACACATCTAGATGTGTATAAGAGAGAGATATATATATATATATATATATATATATCTCTCTCTTATACACATCTAGATGTGTATAAGAGAGAGATATATATATATATATATATATATATATCTCTCTCTTATACACATCTAGATGTGTATAAGAGAGAGATATATATATATATATATATATATATATCTCTCTCTTATACACATCTAGATGTGTATAAGAGAGAGATATATATATATATATATATATATATATCTCTCTCTTATACACATCTAGATGTGTATAAGAGAGAGATATATATATATATATATATATATATATCTCTCTCTTATACACATCTAGATGTGTATAAGAGAGAGATATATATATATATATATATATATATATCTCTCTCTTATACACATCTAGATGTGTATAAGAGAGAGATATATATATATATATATATATATATATCTCTCTCTTATACACATCTAGATGTGTATAAGAGAGAGATATATATATATATATATATATATATATCTCTCTCTTATACACATCTAGATGTGTATAAGAGAGAGATATATATATATATATATATATATATATCTCTCTCTTATACACATCTAGATGTGTATAAGAGAGAGATATATATATATATATATATATATATATCTCTCTCTTATACACATCTAGATGTGTATAAGAGAGAGATATATATATATATATATATATATATATCTCTCTCTTATACACATCTAGATGTGTATAAGAGAGAGATATATATATATATATATATATATATATCTCTCTCTTATACACATCTAGATGTGTATAAGAGAGAGATATATATATATATATATATATATATATCTCTCTCTTATACACATCTAGATGTGTATAAGAGAGAGATATATATATATATATATATATATATATCTCTCTCTTATACACATCTAGATGTGTATAAGAGAGAGATATATATATATATATATATATATATATCTCTCTCTTATACACATCTAGATGTGTATAAGAGAGAGATATATATATATATATATATATATATATCTCTCTCTTATACACATCTAGATGTGTATAAGAGAGAGATATATATATATATATATATATATATATCTCTCTCTTATACACATCTAGATGTGTATAAGAGAGAGATATATATATATATATATATATATATATGCAAGATTATATATTTTACACATACATGTTTTGTGATTTTAGTGGTTTAGGATATATCACAGGAGGTGAAACAGCCCGTATCACCGGTCACTGGCAATGGGGGTTACGTATTACCCCTGTATTAGGTGTTGTAGCAATATTTCTGTTACTAACTGTTGTAAAAAATCCAATTAGAGGTGAACGAGAAGGTGGTGTTCATTTGACTAGTACAACGTGGTCGCATGATATAAAGCAGTTATCGAAAAAGTAATTATCAAGTATTTAGATAAAGTAAAGCATACATTTCGCGTTTTTCCATTTTGTTTCGAAAAATTATATTATTCTCATAATTATTCTCACAATTAGCAATGTGTACCATGTTATATTATTGACACGATTTTCAGTCCAAGCTTTATGCTCTCTACAGCAGGATTTACTTGCGTAGCATTTGTAGCTGGTGCTTTGGCATGGTGGGCGCCAATGTATTTACAATTAGGTTTTCAATTACACCCTGACGATATGAATGTTGATCCAGATGAGTATGTTTCTTAAAATTACATATTATTGACAAGAATTTATGCTGATGACGTGTAATATTTTTTGAAACTCATACAAACGTATCGGGTAATGTTTCAGTGTTGCATATAAATTTGGATTAATTGGTATGGCATCTGGTTTAATAGGAGTACCTTTAGGTTCCGCATTAGCGCAAAAATTACGATGTTATTGGCAACAAGCTGATCCTCTGATATGTGCTATAGGTCTTCTAATAAGCGCACCTTTATTATTCTTCGCTATGATTACTGCCAATACAAACTCTATTCTCTGTTACACATTAATATTCTTTGGCCAGTTGTCGTTGAACTTGAACTGGTCTATTGTAGCAGATATGTTATTGGTAAGTGGTTGAGACAAAACCATAACAGACAGTGTTAGACAAACAGTTACATTTCATAATTTTCATTTGTATTTCGATAAGTTTAATTACCTTTTATTCTCTTGCAGTATGTAGTAATTCCTACAAGAAGATCTACAGCAGAGGCATTTCAAATACTTATCGCACATGCTTTTGGAGATGCAGGCAGTCCCTATCTTATCGGACTCGTATGTATCTTATAATTTATCCTCCCAGCATATAGCACATTAGAATTTATATCTGGTTGCTATATAGTTATGTACATGTGTAAAAAAAAAAACGTACACCCATAGATATTCAAAACTTCAGATACCACTTTTTGATGGTAGATTCCTGCAACCACTTGGACTTCTTTTCTATTTGATTCCTGAGAACGCTGATATTTAAATGGTTTCTAATTAGAAAGTACCATGTTCTAAATATTGTATCGGAATTTTTGCCTCGAAATGTCTTATAATTTTCCACTAACATATGGTCATTCAGGTTTAGGATGTCTTATTTTAACTCGATATTGTCAAATATCGTATGATATTGCGTGTATTTATCGAGGTGTCTCTTGTGCTTTTTTTTTTAGATATCCGAAGGTTTGAAGTCCCTGTATCTTCCGAATTTAGCTATAAAGGATCAAGAGCAATCTGGTGCTTACGATGATCAGAATATAAGCGTCGAATTCCGTAGTCTGCAATATGCGATGTTTCTTACAATGTTTGTAGAAGTAATCGGCGCCCTGTTTTTCTTCCTGACAGCATTGCATATACAGCAAGATAAAGCACTAGTAGATCTTGCTATTGCGGGTAAGTGATTGCGTTTAGCATTAAAATATAGGTAATGTTTAGATGACATATTTTATCTTGTGTGTGTGTATATATATGTATATATATATATATATATATATATATATATATATATTTACTAATTAATTTTTTATGCTTGACACATGTGCGTAATGAATGTGCATGCACACATGTAATGAGCACGCACAATATATTTTATTTTGTATATATTTGTTACTGATCAGCTTTATGCTTGTGATACACACGCGTAAAGCTAGAAACATACGATGCACGATTTCATGCCTTCTGATATGCATGCATATCGGCAGCTCAGTTTACTGCACAGATCTTTCAATGCACGATAGCGATTCATGCAGTGAACTGAATTGTCGACCACTGGTACATGTACCAGTGTACACGCACCGGCGGTAATGCTGTCCGTGATTTGTGTAACTCGTACACGATGACGCGTCACTCACATACTACTGCCTGTAGGCAGTGCTGCAGAAATGTGCCCGCGCACACCGCAGCGTGCGAGAAGAGGATATTTCCTCTATGCGCATTTTCCTAACGCACGCATCCAACGCTGTTGCTGCGTCTATCGGTGTGAAGCGGCGTCGCTCATGTAACAGAGCGAGAAAGAGAATTGTCTTCGCTACTTATCGCTCCTTCTCGCTCCGACTCACTGTGTTTACGCGTATCTGAGGATATGTTGGCTTTCTCGGCGTCGATCTGAGTCGTGAGCGCGATTATGGATATATCGTCGCTGCCGAGAAAAAATGCCTTATATAAAATTTCTTATCAAATCAAGATGTTTATATCAATATATATTCAGAATTTTAATATAATGACAAAAGTATCTTAAAGTCACAAGACATGCACATAGGCTTTTTTACGGCAGCGAAGATTTGTGACAAAATATGAAATAAATTATAGGCGAACATTTAACGTGTCAGTACGTCGCATGGAGTAAGAGTAACGTATTGACAATTTCCTGACAAGCGTCGTTTAAATAGGATACTTTAATAGGACGTTTTAATAGGATACTTTTAAGCCATTCCTTTATCGTTATATTGATATAACAATGAATGCGAAACTGTTTTTATCTTTTGAAGCAACTGTAGCAGTATGAAAGCAAAGGTGTTAAGATAACTTTATTGAACGTGTTAATTGCCAATACGTTATATTTACTCCATGCGACGTATTGGCACGTTGCATTAAATGTTCGCCTTATATTTATTTCATATTTTGTCACAAATCTTCGCTGCCGTAAAAAAGCCTATGTACAATGTTTTGTAACTTTAAGATACTTGTGTCATTATATGTAGAATAAAATTCTGAATGTTTATTGATATAAACATCTTGACTTGATAAGAAACTTTACATAAGGGATCTTTTCTCGACAGCGACGATATATCATATCACGCTCACGACTCAGATCGAGAAAATATCCTCGGACACGCGTAAACCGAGTGAGTCGGAACGAGAAGGAGCGAAAACCATTCTCTTTCTCGCTCCGTTACATGAGCGACGCCGCTTTACACCGATAGACGGAGCAACAGCGTTGTGTGCGTGCGTTAGGAAAAGGCGTATGGAAGGGGTACCTTCTCCTCGCACGCTGCGGTGTGCGCGGAACATTTCTGTAGCACTGCCTGTAGGTGAAGCACGGTATAGGATCATCGGACGCCTCGGTGGGGGAATAGTGGTGGGAGTCGCGGCGATCTTCCATTCTCTATCGCAGACGTAAGAGCGAGAGAGATAGCATTATGAGACGTCGTGGCTAGAAATGCCGTCTTAAAATACATGTGACGCACACTAAGAAAACGCTCGACTCACACTGTCTTGTCTATACGTGAACAATACGTGGTGTCCCGACGTCTGTTTCGCTCGCTCGAACGTCCATGCATTTTTTCTTGTTAGCAAGGAAATTACTGTAATGTAAAAGAAGATTTTGGGGAAGGGTTTTCAGGAGGCTTTGACAAGTGCTTCTTAATAGCTGCTCTTGAAAAAAAAATAAATATTAGATTTATTTCAATATAGAATACTGCATCAGTATAGAATACTGCAATAATACAGCGCTTGTATAGGTTGTCGAAGTAGAATATTTTTAATTTTAATGTTGCATAATCTCCTGAAAACCCTTCCCCAAGATCTCCTTTTACATTACAGTAATTTCCTTGCTAATAAGAAAAAAACGTGGACGTTCGAGCGAGCGAAACAGTCATCGGGATATCGCGTATTGCTCACGTATAGACGAGACAGCGTGAGTCGAGCATTTTCTTAGTGTGCGTCACACGTATTTTAGGACGGCATTTCTGTCCACGCGTCTCATAATGCTATTTCTCTCGCTCTTATGTCTGCGATAGAGGATGGAAGATCGCCGCGACTCTTACCACTATTGCCTCTCCAAGTCGTCCGACGATCGTATACCGCTAGTCTCCTCCCCCACTCCGTGCAGTTCGTACCTCACCTACAGGCAGCAATATATGAGTGACGCGTCATCGTGTGCGAGTCACACGGATATACAGACGGCATTAACGCCGATGCGTGTACATACGAGGGCATAAAATTGTGCATCATGTGATTAATGAATTGGCACGCACATACAGACACACATACGCGCACGCACGCATGCACGTACGCACGCACGCATGTACACACGCACGCACACGCACGCGCGCGCACACACACACACACACACACACACACACACACACACACACACACACACACACACACACATTTAGGCGTCATTGATGCGCGCCATTTCCTAGATATAGAATTATTAGAAATTTTACCATTGTATACATCGTGTTACAATGTATCATTTTTTTTCTTGTAACTTTATGTTTTACATTACAACTGTCATTCTTTTCGTATGATATTTGATATATTGTTGCCATTCTTTAAAATGATCGACAGTATAATGCAATATTTAGAAAAAGGTTGTATTGAAATTAGTTGTCATAGAAAATTTCTAATATTTCTACATCTAGTAATTGACTCGAGCTATCAAAATAATTTAGTTACCAGAATTATTTTGTATATATAAAGTCGCTAATACTGAACAAAATATCACAACAGCGTATACATATAATTCAGTGAATGCAATACATATACTATTGAGTTATCGGAAAGATCAAATACAATAATGTTGGCAAATAAAAAATGATGATAAAGTTATGAAGTAATATTTTATCAAAGAAACATGATAAAAGTGTTACTTTTTAACATTATTGTGCGTACTGATACTGTCATATTAATGAATGACATACATAACATACGTTATTACTCCTGTAGTTTAGATCTGGTTGGAATGTGAAGTAAAAATTTGCAACTTCTAAAACATTGGTCAGGTTCAGCGGAGAAAACTGCTCCGTCACTGCTCCGTAGCGAACGTCTCTGATTGGTACGTCTGTTCGGACCTGTCAAAGGTTTGAAAGAATACTCCAATCATGAACATTCGTTACGGAGCGGTAGCGGAGCAGTTTTTTCCGCTGAACGTGATCATTCTATTTTTGCACAGTGCATGAATTGTTCTCAACTTTGGACATAGAAGCACAAGTTTTGGGATCAAAAGGAAGGTAGTATGATAATTCACGATAATTTTTGCATATTAAGTGCTAAATAAGTTCCTACGTATATAAAATAAGTACACCGAATGCATATAGGATACAAAATAGTATACTATACGCAAAAAAATGCGATACTATACGCAAAAACGATATTCTGATTTCACAATTCCATATTCGCAAAATTTGTATGAAAAATTTTATAAGGGATTGCAAGAATAATGATAAAAAGGAAAAGAAGTATTTATAGATACAATTGTTTATAGTTATCAATTTATGAAATTAAAAAAAATGATATCAATTCGGTGGATTAATATTTTGCCAGAATCAATTAATTTCTTTTTTGATAAAACTTTTTTAGGTTACGATTTTGGATTTTTGAAGCTTTCCATGGAATTTTCCATGAAAAATCAGGAAGATTTTTAAATCTTCGTTACTTCTTTTTCTTTAATTTTATATATTTTTATCGTAGGGTGCTTCATTTTTTATCAAGGAGGCTGTCTTTCGCAATTTGTTTTCTTTGATTATCATCATATGCCAATATAATAACTTATGATTTATGAATGCAATCATCAATTTTAATTCCTGACATTAGGTTCAAATCTTTATTTTATGTTCCAGCAATAAAAAATGGTGTAACATATTTGTGTTGAAATGAAATCTGTTTTAACATTAAAAGTATACCATTTTAATAAGTATAGCTTTACCATGTTAGTTGTGTTATCCGTTTTGTCATTTCACATAGATAATGTATATACATACGCACACGCACATATGTGCATACATACATATTCACATACGTATTTACGTTATCATTATAGCGGAATTTATACACGTTATATCGCAATGCATAATATTTGTCTGTCTTTATACAACTTAATTGGTAAATTGAGTACCAAAAATATTTTTGTTATTTTTTTTTAAAAGGATGCCTAATTTCTTTTTGTTAACATTTTTCTTTTAGACTGATTATTTACTAAAGTTGTCACCGAAGGTTAAAATCATCTTTAAGATTAAAAAATAATAAAGTAGGTTAAATTTTTTTTTCATAAACATATTTTATTTATTACAGCGTGTATACAGCATACACGATATGTGATCTAGTTGGGAATGTGCATGCAGTTATTTTTATGTAACACACAAACATCTTTCTTGCAGACAAATGTCTAGATACTAAGAATAACGGGCAAGCTGAATCAACGCATTTATAGATCATCACTGGGCTTCATCTGATAGTGTGCTGTATATCTGGTACATAATTTATTTTCATGATTTCATTATCTTTTCTGTTTACCTTTTTTTATATATTAATTAGCAATCAGTTTTATCGCCTGGCTTTGTATGTAAGATATGTGAGAGATAACGTACTATTATTATATTTGTGTTTGTCGTAACATAAATTATAGAAAAGTAATACACATGCACACACTTAATAATTTAAAGGATATTTAAATTTATTATATTCTTTTGTTCTTTCATTGAACAACGATGCGAATATAAATATGATTTTTTAATGTATACTAAACAATATACTTGCATTACTTTTGTGCGTTGCGTTACTATACCTTTATATTTTACATGTTTCATTATATACTCAAAAATTTTTATGTAAGAAAAAATGTCAGGCAACACGTGATTTTAATTACAATGATAGATCTTTCGAATAATTTCGAATCGATTTTTTTTTGTTAAAAATATGTCGGAAATCATTATTTACCGTCGTTCTGTAAATTAGCAGCAAAAAGATTACGTTTCTTTTGGATTTTTTGAAATACATAATGTTTGACGATTACATATAAAACCTTCGTGTAGATTAGGTGAAAGTGAAGGAAAAGTTCCTTTATTTGGAAATTTTGCAAATCATGTAGAATATTGAGTTGTTATTCAAAGAAGATGGGCCTGAACGATCGTAAGTGATTAATCGTAGACCTTCTTTAATTAATTATTTCAAAATTTACCTGATTGTTTGCAAAATGGTAGAAGACTTTTTTTTATTCAGTTTGACCTAATCTACACGCGCGAGAATTTTATATGGTTTCGTAAGACATCTTGTATATAGATGAAAATAAAAAAAACGATGCCACAGTTTTCATCTTTATTATAAGTTATCAGAATGAAAATTTTTTGCCATCAATGATACAATTAACTAAGCTGCAGTCAAGTGAAGGTACGCATTTATTAAACGGAACATATGTTTAAATCTTAGTTTAGATTCTCTTCAGTACATCGGTGGATGAAAAATTTTTACGAAATAAATACAATATTATAAGAATAAATATAAAAGAATAAAAAAAATTAAATAAGTAATTACATATGAATATAGTCAGTGATGTACAATATATCAGATGTCAAAAGATTGGAAAAGAGGAAAGATTTTTGTCTGTAGTATATCGGAATTGGAAATGGAATGAAAAAGAAGAGACTATTTTCGGAGCTGAATTCTTCTGACTCGTTTGATTACAACAACAATATATGACGTATAGATATCAGCATTGTTGTTCGTATTACATCATCTATTGGAAATGATCCAATAGATCAATAGCCAAACTGATCCCAATATTTGGCATTGAAATTATGTGTTTCAAATTGAAGCAGCTTGCTTACTAAGGGTTTACGTGGAATGTAACAATTGATTAGTTTGTAAAATTTTGAATATGTGAGATAGATATAGTACAATGTGTTGCATGTATATTATTGAGATTGTAATCAAGGTAACGCATAAGGAATTTAACCATGTTAGTTTCCTTTTTGAATATTTATGTATAATTTTACCATATTTGTTCCTCTATTTTTACTGTGCAAAATATTGATACAAATGTATATACACACACACATGCGCGCGCGCGCGCGTATGCACGCTCGCAAGCACTCACGCACGCACGCACGCACACACGTACACACAACCTGGATATACTTGCGTATGTGCGCTTGTTTGTGTGTGTGTTGTGTGTGTGATGCGCGCGTGCATGTGTAAGAGTATGTATACATATATACATGCATGCATACACACACAGGGTGAGACAATAAGAATTATCACCTTTAATATCTTTGAAACTATGGGAATTGAAGAAAGAATATGTGTAGTAATTGTGTACAGATGGAGCCATCATATGCTGGTAATAATTTCTTTGTAGGTGAAAATTTAGAGGAAATATATGAAAATTTACTTTTTATTTTTAAAATGGAAAGTTTCTTTTTTCTTATATAAATTGATTTTCTTCATAATTTTCTGCATATAAAGGTACTGAGGAACGATTATTAAAAAAGTGAATGCTTTCTTCAGAAATATTTCAAATTTTGATCTGTTTTTCGCGGTATGAAATATGAAATTTGTTGCGATATATTTACGTCTCGATTATGTTGTCTTAATGTTGTTATACGTAGATTATCGAAGAGAATCTACACACATACACATACGCACTCACGCACACGCACATACACACGTAAATAAAAGAAAACATATAATTCCATTTAAACGAATTGATTGTTTCTAAAAATATATCTTTAATCTTTTGACTCATAGGCTATCTGGCAATCTTCATGAAATGAACCAAGTTTTGAAATGAACCTTAAACATTTTTTGTCAGCAAATAAAGTTGTTAAGTTTTAAATACTTTACCCAGTACCTTAATATGAACATGTGTGTAATGCAGCACCAACTTATTAACGGAAAACAGTGAAATCTTAAATAGATTACTAGGATATATTAGTATATTTATATGGACTCTTTATGTTTCACCTATATTTAAACGTAAATTAATATATTATCTACTTGTCAATTTCTTTACCTAGACTCATGCATTAATAAACTATATTAACTATATTAATGATCTACTTTATTTACAGGTGGAAGCGTTTCAGATTCGATATGTATTTGTAACGATGCAGTTGACAGCGAATTACAAAACGATCGGAATACGATATTAGAATTTAACAGGCATCACGAGGACCCGTGTCATTAGAATAATATAGAAACTTTAGTAGAGTGCACAGCTATTTTAAAGACTATATTGTAAAGTCCTATTAAATATAAATATGTTTGTTTACATAGTTTTACGAATGTGAGGTGGATCTGAAAACGTATGTCCTCGATACAAAATATATTTATAAAGAAAATCAAGAAATAATCTATATATCCAATTCTATAACATACAATATTATTACATAATATTTATGTGTTACATTTATCAAAATTATTATATTATATTATATTATATTTATGTGTTATATTTATCAAAATTTCTTTTTGAGAATGGATATCCTCAGGGAGGTAGCAAGTGATCTTTACTGTTAATACAGTTATATAGGAAACAGAATACACAAATAATAAAACTTGTAACTCTAAAAATTTTAAATGTAATATTTTTGTAATCGCTCAGTAAAATCATATAGCATACTATTGAAATCATCACATAGTGGATACAAATTGTACAAACCATTCATACGGTAGGCATAAGATAACAGCAATAGTACTAAATAGTACAACTTTGTATTGCATAATATTTACATGTAAAATAGTAAGTAGAATTGTTAGGTCATTATGCTTTCCATTATGCTTAAAATGTACAAAGAAGAAACCAAAAAAAAAAAAAGAAATAAATTTCGATTTGTGCAAATAACGTATTTTGTATTTTTCGTGTTATGCATACATGCGTAGTATCAAACACGGATGTCCAAAGCAGTCCGATACCGCTGGACGTATGCTCCGCATCTCGAAAGTATTTGCCTATATCACTGAGCAGGTTAACTTGATGCAGGTTCTAGATTAATTATAAAAAAATGGATGTTGAAATTGATGGGGCAGAGTACGCGACATACGCCACAGGATAACCTCCTATCGAATCGTATATAAGGATAGTTTACTCTTAAAAGAGTTGAACAAATTTTTTTTTAAGGCAACGGTTAGATAAATTATTTGTTGAGGATGGCTGACAAATGCGCTATAAAGCTAATTGTAAAACTATCCCTTAAGGTGATGAAGATTGAAAAACAAAATATAAGGCTGTGTATTTCCGAGGTGCATTTTTCGAGACAAGTAAAAAAAGTTGTATTCCAGCGTCGCCCACGCGAAAACGGTGGACCCCGAGGATATCATTTCTAGCCGATATATTTTGAGTCTCCGCTAAATTATTTAGCTGAGATTCGAAACCAAAGTATTTTATGCCTCCGCCAAACTATTAAGTCGAGCTTCTTACCGAAATTTCGAGTTCCCGCTAAATTATTAAGCCAAGATTTGATCAGATGTGTGTAACGCTATTTCGCGTTCGGTGCGGAATAAGCTGCGAGTCGGTGTAGTCCGGATTCGAGCAGATGTAAATAATTGTGAAGCCAGTGGGATGGATATTAAGATGATGCATATTGTCGTTTAGATGGCTATGTACAATGAGTATTTACAGTTTGATTCGACGCCGTTGGTTTAGTGCGCGGGTTTTTGTGTTCGCGCGTGTTGATGTTCGCTACGGCGGAGCTCGTGCTGCGGGGCCGCTGGCGGCCGCGGGACGCGGGCGGTCGCGTGACGCGTCGATTGTGTTGTGCTTGCGGCGCGATGTTGACGCTCGGATCTTTAATTTTGATCGCGCGAGGAGAGCCGTTACTCGAGGAATAACACGGCCCTGCGTGTGGGATGCGTCGGAGTTCTGCGGAGCGGTTGTGCGCTAAGATGCGGTGCCGCGGGGATCGGTTCCCCGGGACGGCGGCGCGGCTTCGCGGAGGTCGACTTTACGAGTCTAATAAGTCTAATCGGGTGTCGACTTTACGAATCCAACAAGTCGACGGAGCGGTATCGAGGGTGTAGGCTTTACAAATCCGACAAGTCTCCACGAGTGTCGACTCTACGAATCCAACGAGTCGACGGAGTGGTAGCCTGCGCGAATCGGAGAATACGCGGATGTCGACTTTACGAATCCAATAAGTCGACGGAGCGGTAACGAGGATGTAGACTTTACGAAATCGACAAGTCTCCACGAGTGTCGACTCTACGAATCCAACGAGTCGACGGGGTGGTAGTCTGTGCGAATCGGCTAAGTCTACGCGGAGGTCGATTTTACGAATCCAACAAGTCGACGGAGTGGTAAGCAAGGAGGTAGACTTTACGAATCCAATAAGTCTACGCGGATGTCGACTTTACGAATCCAATAAGTCGACGGAGGAATGTCGACTTTACGAATCTAACAAGTCGACGGAGCGGTGACGAGGAAGGTCTAGGATACGGTGTTCTAGGCAGCGGTGTTCGCGAGGTGCTGCTGCTGTCGGAGTCTGAGCTCTGTTCAGCGGAGTGCCTCGGAAGACTGCTTCTCTCTCGGCTTTTCGCGCGGTTTTTTATACTACTTTTCGCCTGATCTAGTGTTGTGTTCTTCGCGGTCGGTCGGCGGTGTTTACATTAGTTTGTCCTGTTCTGTTTCGTGACGGGTCGTTTCGTATATTTGCTTTTAACGATTTCGCGGTTTGTATTACGGACGGCTCGTTACATGTGTTTTAAATCTCCGCTAGAACATTAAGCCGGGATTCGAACCGTAGTGCTTCGATTGTTGTGATGTGTCTTTGAAGTTGTTTCATTCTGGAGTAATTTTTCACAGTTTTAAAATAATTTCCGCGGTTGCGAAAGTTCAATTTCGAAAAAGAAGTGTATTTTATTTTGCATCGTCTCCTGGATGACAGTGGGTGTTAGTGTCACTTTACTCCCTCAATACCTAGAGAACCTTTAGAAGAGAGAATCGCCAACGTGATAATATGACCAGCTGATTGGCTGGCGTACATGCACGAATTTGGACATTGCGACGTCAATGCAGAACAGATGGTTATTTTATATATATATATATATATATATATATATATATATATATAT